TGCCTCGAGGGGGGAAGGAAGGAATGTCTGCCTTTGGTGTGAGAGTGGAGAGGGAGCCACCAAGAGTGGGTGAGAGAAAGCCCAGATGGTTTGTGGATGTCCCCTCCTTGCAAGTGATGAGACTTGTAGAAACCTGGTCTAGTGGAAAAATGTCCCTTCCCATGGCATGGGGGTTGGAACTAGGGAGGTGGTGGAGTCACCATCCCTGGAAGTGTTTAAAAGAAATGTAGATCTAGTGCTTAGGGACGTGACTTAAGCACTGAATGGGTAAATCAGGTTATGGAAGGGGGATTTATATTATGGTTGGACTTGATGATCTTCCAACCAGGATGATTCGATGATTCTAGATGACCTTCAAGATCCCTTCCCACCCAAACCATCCCCTGGTTCCATGATTTCAGCAGCTGCTGTGGGCTTTTTCTCCAGGATCCTTGCAGGCAAACCCACCTTGAGAACGTGGCAGCCATGGGCTGTGCAGGCCAAGGAGCACCCAGCAGAGCAGGGACCCTGGGACCTGCCTGCCCAGCCTCTGGCATCCAGGGTTGGTGGGCTGACTTCCCCATCACAGACACTTTTTCTCAGCATGTCTTGTTTGTTCATTTCTCCAAAGCACATTTAAGCATTTCATGGGTCTGTCCCACCGTGGCTCATGGGGTGTGCCTCGTTAGCATGTGCCTCATTAGCATGTTTATAGCTGTGCTAATTACCAGCGACCTTCAGAGGGGTGGTTGTGTCTTCGAGTGGCCCAGCTGGCATCCAGGGTTTGTAGGGCTCAGTGGACCATTTATTTCTTTGCCCTTGTCAGTTCCAGCTCTTTTGTCATCTCTGTGGTTTTGCCCACTGGTCTGAGGCCCCACAGGAGGAGAGTTGGGCTCCCAGGGGATTCTGAGCCTGCAGGAGAAGGGCCTGATGCTGCAGGAGGAAATGAAACGGGCTTTTGGAGAGACTGCTGAGGGGTGGCATCGCATCCACGGGTCTGGTCAGGCCCTGCTGGGGTCCAGCTGAATCCAAGCTGCTGCCCTGAGTGTCCTTTTGGTGTGCTGGGCATGAGCTGCTGAAGCTTCAGAGCTCCTTGGGACCCACCTGCTCCTCCCCCTGCCAGCCCAGAGCTCCCTGCACCTGTTTCTGAAGAAGCTGCATGTTCATAGTGCAAGAAAAGTTTGAGCTGACTGAGGCTGAGGGACCTGCCTTCTTCACCTCAGCCTTCACTGGTGAGACCAGGTCCCTGAGACCGGAGGGGGGTGAGGTAGGCACACCCTCAGGGGAGGAGGATCAGGTTAGGGAGCACTTGGACAGGACCAACTAAAGTTTCTGAGCCTGGTGAGATACACCAGGAGTGCTGAGGGAGCTGCTGGTGGCTTTGGCAGGTCACTGCCCATCATCTTCGAAAGACCACGGTGGTCAGGAGAGGTTCCTGAGGGCTGGAAGAAAGGAAATGCCACTTCAGTCCACAAGGGCAAGGACTATGGGGAGGTCCAGGCGTCTCAGTTTCATCTTGATCCCTGGGAAGATGGTGGAGGAACTAACCCTGGAAATGGTTTCCAAACAGATGAAGGACAAGATGGTGACTGGGGGTAGCCAGCCTGGATTTGTGAAGGGGAGATGCTGCTGAAGGGGGGTGACAGCCTGTGCAGGGGGGTGCTGAGCCTGCTGGGGAGGGCAGAGCTGTGGGTGCTGGTTGTCTTGGCTTGAGCAGGTGTTTATGTTGTGAAATGTGGACAACTTCACGTGTTTCCTTTCATGAGAACAGACTCAATTTGCTGTTACCTTAAAATCTGCATTCGCCCTGATGCCAGACAGGCTGAAAACCTCAGTCCTTGAGAAGCATCAAATCAGAAAGGAGCAGTGACTGAAGAGCCTGGAGGGACCGCACGGGGCTCTGGAGAGCTGGGTGGGCTCCACAGGGGCTGGTTTGGAAGTTGGAAACTCCAAGTACTAGAAAAGGGAAATGTTCCATTGGGAAGTGTTAGCAGAGCTGCTAAAGCATGGATGGGAGCAGAGGGAAATAAGAGACAGGATTCAGGTCTGTTCCAAATGGTGACAACATCATAAGCTGTGCAGAGCAGAAGCATTTGCATCTCAATAAAGGATCTGGAGAAGAGACTGAAATGAGTCTCCTGCTTGGCTTGCTAATCAGGCTTCCTTGTTTGGTTGGTTTTCCTCTGCTTCCTATAGGACTGGGGCCTGGATACAGGCAGTTGTGAAGCTCCTCTTCCTTGGGAAATTGGGTCTGGTGTGGTGGTTAATTACTCCGGTGGTTGGATTTGGCTGTGAGCGACATGGGCTCTACGTTCTTTGGTGCAGGGGTAAATCCAGTAGTGCTGTGAAGTGTCAGGACCCTTCTGCTGGGATGAAGAGGAGCAGTAGCTGGTGCTTGTGTGGCTCTGATACCACCCACAGCCACAGTTCACTTGCATAGCCTTGTGGGACAGGTTTTATTATTATGAAGGAGTTTATCTCAAGTGCTGTTCCTACTGAGGATCCAAGGTGCAGTTGCTGGGGATCGTGTTGTACCAGTGGTCTCATTTTCCTGGTGGTTTCACTGAGTCACAGTGTGGTGGGGGTTGGGAGGGACGTCTGGAGATCATCTAGTCCAACCCCTTTGCTCAAGCAGCTTCACCCAAAGCAGGTGGCCCAGGATTGTGTCCAGGCAAGGTTTGGAATGTCTCCAGAGAAGGAGACTCCACACTTTTGCATCTGGATCTGAATACCTGGTGACCAGCTCTGTCCCTCTGGCCTGGTGGCTCCACAGCCCTGCTGTCCTGTTGCCAAGGGCACTTTCAGTCATCAGCCACAGGAGCCTCCTCATCTTTTTTGGGGGCCTGCTTGGTGGTTGGAGCCTCACAGGTCACAGCTGTGGTGCTGGGTCAGGTCCCCAGACGTGTCTGCAGAGCTGTGGTCTCTGGCTGTCGGGGTCACTCAAGTGCCTCTCAGATCATGGGAGAGCTCAGGATGAAGATGGAGCTTCTGCTCTCACAGCCACAGGGTCAGGTTGTCATTACAAAGCTGGAGAAACAGCCGTAGGAAAAAAACATGAGATAAGATGATGCAAGTTTTAAATAGACTTGACCTCAGCCTCTTCCTTCACCTGTTGTCCAGGGATTTGTGGAGGAGCTCAGGAGCCCAGCACAGGGTCCCCTTGCTGAACAGGGTGTGGGGGGGTGTTTATATCAGCTCCTGAAGTTTCAAAGCAAGCTCAAGGAACCCCACGTCCCTGGGCACATCCAGGGGATCTCCTGGTGTGGTGGCTTGTTTTTAAGAGCTTGTTATCCAGGTGATGCTGAGGAAAAACTTCTGAGGTCTTTGGAGAAGGGCCCCCAGGATGCTCACTCTTCTGTTGGTTTTTTTGTCTGGATGTCAGAGGAATTGCCCTTAAAAATGCTGCACCAGGAGGTTTTCCAAGGGATGTATCAAAGCTTATCACTTTCAGGTGATGTGCTGCAGTTTCTCTTGATCTATAGCCTTTTACAGACTACATCTCACACATGAATTCACAATCTGTTCCAGAGACCACAGTGTTTCAAAGGGTTAGGATGGTGCTGTGAGCTGTGGTAACCTGAAAGCACATGGAAGTGCTCCCCTTTGCTCAGCTGGATCAGGATGGTGCAATTAATTGGCCATGTAAGTGCTTGAATTCGAGTGAGAGCTGCACATCAGCCATTCTCTGGATAAAAGAGGAGTGATATCTGGGCACCCTGGGTATAATGTATAAATGGGGAACGTCCAGAACGATGGGTAATGGTCGTCACCTCCCTTTTTTCTCTTCTGCTTGGTGCACATTTCTGTTCTCTCAAGTGCTCTGGGAATGACAATAATTTTCTCTGCGGCCGTAGGAAATGTGATGGTAATGTCTGATGCATTTGTAGATGTCCCCAAACAATCCAGATCTTTCCTGCAGAGCCTGCTAGCATAAGGTGTGGGGGATCTGGTAGCAGGGAACTAGGAGGTGGCAGCTGCCATCAGACATAATTTGCTGGTGAGGGTTTTCACAGCAGAAGCCTCAGACTGTTTTGTAACCTTGAACTGCTCTGGTCAGTCTGCGTTGGACCCCCCAGCTCATTCTTCAGGTGTAATAACTGCTGGTTGTGTCTGTAGCTCTTCTGCAGCTCATATCCTGGCCACCTGAAAGGCACCCCTTTCAGCTGGCAGTTGGTGAGGAGTTCAAGCTGATCCTTCCCTGGTTTAATGAGGACACTCCTGATGTGATTCTCCATTAAAATCTCCTCGAGTCTGAATTCATTTCATCTTCAGAGCACATTTTGGGACTTCCTTTCTGCTTCTCTGAGCTTTGAGCAAGTGAAGTCAAGTTTAATGGATTGGGAGAATTTTGCTGTGGCAGTGAAGTGCCTTCCTGTTTGCTGTGTCATTTGGAGTGAAGCACCTCTAGGTTTTGAACATGGGCCAGTGTGGGAAACTGTTCTTTTTCTTCCCTCAGAGTCTGCCAGTCAGGACACCCCAGTTCTCAGGGGGACTGGAGCTGTCGCTGTGGCCAATTTCTCTCCCTCTCCACCTCATTTGCCTTACATTTGCCTCTGTTGCTCTGGAGATCTCAGAAGTGACAGTAGTAATGTTTCCAGGAAATGGTTTTACCAAAGCCCCTGTTATGTCTGGGTCCCCCACGAATCCTTCCAAAGATGCCACCAATTCTGTTTCCCTTCCGCAGCACGTGGCTGCATGAAGGTCATTCCCTGCACTGTCCCTCTTCTGGATAGGGATGAAGGAAGCTTCTGAAGGCTTCTTGAGGTGCTTTCTTCCTTCAGACCACACCTAGAATCGCGGAATGGCTTGGGTTGGAAGGGTTCTTAAAGATTATCTAGTTTCAACCCCCTGCCATGGGCAGGGTCCTGAGCCCAGACCTGCTGTCTGTGCTCTGCAGTTCCGTGTCCCGCTGCCATGGTCCTTCTGGCCTTCCCCTTCCCTGGGAGCCCTGCTGGTTCCCTGGGAGCTCTGCTGCTTCCCTGGGAGCTGGCTCTCACAGACCTGTCCCTTTCTTCCCACAGTGCTGAGCATCGGCGAGGGTGGCTTTTGGGAAGGAACAGTGAAGGGAAGGACTGGCTGGTTCCCGGCAGAATGCGTGGAGGAGGTGCAGATGCGGCAGTACGACCCCCGGCAAGGTAAGCTGCTGCCCAGCCCTGAGGGTCCCTCAGCAGACACGCTGGGCAGCCCTGGAAGTTCACAAGTGTTCATTCTACGTGCCCAGCAGTCTCTGGGTTTGCCCATCGGGTGCGGGGGGCGATGGCTGCGCCTGAAGGGTTGTGTCTCCAGGTGTTACTGAGGGTATTAGCATCCAGCAGGAGACACCTGATCCCTGGTCGGTGGTGCTGTCCTGAGGTCAGCAACCACCAGCCCCTTTGGTGGAGATGGCTGCAGTGCAGGGCCTTCTGCAGGCCCCAGGGGGTGATGGAGCAAAAGACCGTGACTGTTGGTCTGAACCTCCAACCCTGTGCCACGTTTTAGGAGACTTCAAAAGAGACCAGTGATTTGCAGGTATTTATTCTGGTCTAACAGAAAATGTCCAACATGGCTGTGACTCCTGACCCTCCATCTCCTTCACCACCCACCAGCAAACAGGAATTTGCTGTTCCTGGAGGACAGCAGGGTCAGGAGGAGCTGCGGTTGCATGGGCCAAGCAGTCTGGTGTCCTTGGGGTCACTTGATGGGTCCCTGCAGCTGTGGGTGTCCCTCTGCCACCAGCAGCTGCCCAGGCAACCTGAGGGCTGGGTGGGCAGCACTTTGGGCAAGCCTGGACTGGTCCTACTGTAAAGCAAGAACATCTGGATTTATTTTTTATTCAATATATTCCTTAGGAGAGTGGAGAAGTGGCCATGGTTTGACAGATCAGTGAAGTTCACTTTGCATATTTAATGAGCTTTGAAATTCACACTGATGGATTCTGGTGAGAGTTAAACCTTGATTGTGAAGTTAGAGACAAAGTTACAGAACAGAAAAGAAAATCAGTAAAATGTGACTCTCCATTTTGCACAACAGTTGTTTTAATTAGTTTCTGGAAGCCTGAACCCACTTCCCAAGTCTTTTCTTGGCTGTAATCCCAGTCCTTCCAGAGACTATAAAGTGTCTGTGCTTGCACCCTCAGGCAGCTCCTTAGGAGGGTGCTTGGGCTGAGTGAGCTGTCAGCTCTGAGGGTGCTGTGATGAGTGTGTGACACCTGCTGTGAGACACTTGCATGTTGGTCCCTGGGGATAAAGCATTTGGTGCCTTTGGGACCTGGTCTGGTGGCCTTGGAAGGTGAGGTGGCCGTGGGACCCCAGGGGCAGCACCATGAGCCTGTGCCTGCAGGGTCTGACAGGAAAGCTCTTCTCCCTGGCCCGATGGGGCTCAGCTGGTGTCCTCCAGCCCACAGTCCAGCTGCTGTTCCCAGAGCTCAGCCCTGTCCTTCCTTCAGATTGTCTCTGTGTGCTTCATCCTCCTGTGCTGGTCCCTGCTGCACCCCCCTGGCTGTGGTGCTGTGCCCTGGGTCTGCTGGAGGGGAAGCAGATGTGGTCCTGTTGTCCTGGTGGGAAACACCTCATGGCATCAAGGATGTGGTTGGGGTCTCCATCCTTTCCAGGAGTGAGCAGGACTGATGAGGTGGGACTCCCACTGAGAAGGTTCCACCTTCCCCCCTCTCGTGCTGTTTGTCCTGTCCTTTTGGGATGCTAAATAAAAAACAGAGAACAGACTCATCGCTGTGGTTTATGAGCCCTTCCTGTGTCTGGGAGCTGATGTTTGCTGGGCCCTTTCTGGCAGAATGTGTCGTGTTTGGGTTAAACTGAAGTTGTGCAGTGAGATGTGACAAACAGATGGTGCTTAGACACAAAATCTGGAGCCAAAGTGTGAGCCTTTTCCTCCAGTTGTCCATACTGGTTGGTGGCTGACGTGTCACCTGGTGGGGGTTTGGCTTTTGCTGACTCTTGCTTTTCCAGACAAAGCTCAGGCTCAGGGCTCAGGTACAGATTGTTCACAGGAGGTAGTTTGGATAAGGCCATGATGTTTGTAGAATAGTTTGGCTGCATGGCCAAGATGTTGCTCTGGCACTTCTCACCAAGATCAAAGAAAGAGAAGAGTCTGAGTGTCTTAACCTGACAGCTGACCAGGCTGTGCACTGGTGGAGAGGTTCTGGCCTCTGTCCACTGCTGGAGGTTCTGGGTAGGGAACAAAACCAGTTCAGACTTGTGGGCATCTCCAACTGTGTGTTTTGATGGAGTTCCCTGCATGGGGACTGCTCCTGACTGCTCCTGTTGGAACAGGTTGGAGATGACTGCAACAAGGATGAGAGGAGCTCTGGAAATTCCTTGTGGTCTTCATTGAGATTCAGAGAGAGCAACTTTCAGGGTTGACATTTTGAAGATGGTATTGGGATGTTCCTTTAACCTGCATGTATTTTCATACTTTGAGGGAAAAGGCCATGAGCTGCATAGTGACCTTCCTAAATGAGCCAAGCTCTTCTGTAGGGGTGCCTTGGGGTCAGCACTTCCCTCCCAGGTCCCAGGGATCTGTGGGTGTAAGAACCTCCTTACAAACCCTAGCTGGTCATATCTGCCTGTCTCTGGCAGAGAGACATCACTGTGAGATGATGCTGTGTAGACCTGCCCCTGGGTGGTGGGAGTGTCTCCCCATGGACCCTGAGCCACTGCACTGGTGGAGCTTTGGAGCAGAAGGACTTGTGGAGCAGCCACCTGGAGCTTCATTCCT